GTGATTCAGGAAAAGAGGAAGTCATATTGACCACAACCTCCAAATAATACTCAAAAATGAACATTTCACATGTTAAACAGATCACTCTGAATGATACTTATTAACCATTACTTAACCCTTATTACTCATAGGTTTCTTCTTAGTTCTGTAGGAATAAAAATACAAACAACTTCAGTTTCACTCACATGTAGATGCAGAAATGAGGGATGAAATCAGGAGGAACTTGAGAGAATCCATTTGTGAGATACTGTAGAGGCTTCACCAACTTCACCTACCCACTGAAAGGTGTTGACAGGGAACAGAAACCTTTGTACACAGAGAAGAGAAACAGAAAAAAAAACAAAAAAAAAACCAGAGAACATGGCATCATTATATCTCACAAATTCCCCTTCAGCAACCACGGAAGTAAAAAAAAAAAAGTCACATTAATTTCACCAGTAGTAGGTCATAAACATCCGCATTCTTTCTGGGACAGGAACAATCATATGTTCTACTGGTTTCCCAGCTGCAATCAAGACCCACCAACCCAGAAATAAGTGACAAATAGTCCCACCCTATTTCAGAAGCACTGCAATCAGTGGACATTTGGGTCCAACGCTGCAAACAAGTTGGGTCTTTGTTTGGCATTGGAGCTGTAAAACACCTGTAGCTGGTTTAAAGAGGGAAGTGGCACCAAACAAACACAATGAAGGGAAGGATGGAGTCAGTCCGCCCTTACAAGATGTCCTCCTGGTTGTTTACATCTAAAAGTCTGCAAAGCTGGGCAGACTGCCTGAAAGAAAACTGTAACTGAATCAAAAACAGTCAGTGAGCAACTCATTTCAGTGATAACAATGATTAAACTCACACCAGAGTGAGGCCATCATCTCCTGGTAAGGCTGTTACCAACATCAGCAGCTAGACTGTTGAGGTAAACACTTTTTTTTAATGTAGCACTTCTAATGTGTTCTACAACTTCATGAGATAAAGCGAGGTGGCTTGCAGTTTCCTAATCTGATGCTCTTCTCTTGTATTTCTGCATGTGTTAGAAAAACACAGCACTGCTGGGTGAATCTCATGTTCCTGACATGTGACCCTTTGTTTGAAGGTTTTTCCAATCAATGTTTCTCCATTTTGCAGCTGCATTCATGAGAATTGAAATCTGATTATATTAGAGATTCAGAATAATTGATCCTGGTTTCCAAGTTGGTGTTTGTTTGTATTTGTGACTGTATGAACATCTGTGTAACTGGAGTAACTTGAATGAAGGATAAATAGTTTTAATAAGACTGTTGATTCAGGAAGTTGTTCATATTTTGATATTTACTTTACTTTTAGTTTTCTTTTTACTTTACTTTTCTACCCTGAGGTACCCCTGAGCAAGGTACCATCTCCACACACTGCTCCCCAGGCGCTCAATGGCTGCCCACTGCCTCACAGAGTGAATGGGTTAAATGCAGAGAGGAATTTCCCCACGGGGATCAATGAAGTATACATTATTAGTAGAAGTAAAAAAGACAACATTCACACTCACATGTATGGATAATTTATAGTTTATATAATTAAAAATAAAGTACAAATAGCTCCAACAACTTTAATGTCAGATTCTGGTTGTTCTTCTGCTCTCACAGAAAAGTTCCCAGTTTTCTGTTTCAGACCAGAGCCACATAAGCTAGTTCGTCAAGATGGGGAGGAAGTGGGAGTATTCTTCTTTTGTTTCTTTCAGATCACAACTATCATGATCACAACAAAAGCAGGCAGAGCAGCTACCAGTTCAACGTGCCCTCTGTTGACTCCACCCTCCTCCTCTACATCTGCTGTGTGTGGTGGACATGCAGTTTGGACAGATGTGAGACGTCAGCTGTCAGTCAGGTGATAACTTGTACTATTACTGTGTATTATGAAGCAAAAGAAAATGCACCATAAAAACAACTTAATAAATATCAAAGCCTTTGACCACAAAACCTACCGTCTACTGCCTCACGTGGAGGAACAACACTCAGGCTGATGGTGCTCATCCTGCGGTTTGTCCCTCTCCTGAAGACGCGACACTCGTATGTTCCAGTGTCATTAATCGTCACATTCTTCAGAATCAAAGACACGTCTCCATCCTTCATCTGTCTGTCCTGCAGATCCACCTGGTTCTTAAAAGCTGGATGCTGGTTGTCTGGAACAAAAACCTCATCTCTGTACAAAAGCACATATTCTTGCTTGAGGGAAACCAGGGGAGGAGGCTGACACGCATTCGGAGGGAAAGGGGTTACCCGCGCACGCAGGGTGGATCTATGGGAAAAAGAAAAACGAAACTTTAGAGGGAGATGCCAAACCACCGGTAAGAAACAGCAATAAACATGGGGAGAGTTGGAGAGCTCACTTGTCACACTGGATGTACGGGCTCGGGCGAGGATTCTCGGGATGTGGGAGAAACGCTGTAAATGATCTCCGTAGTGATCCCGGAAATGCGGCTTCACAAACAGCTGACAGGTAAGCGGGTGATGGATCCGGCTGAGGATACAGGACAACAGGTAAGCAAACAAAATCCAAGACATAGGTTGGCCGTAATGCACACCGCAGAGAATTAACAAACACGTTACCACTCGAGGAGGTGGCAATACTCCGACACCAGACGTCAGTCGCGCTGCTCCTAAGTAACGCTCCATCAAATGACGTCTGATGCACCGCCGGTGTGTCAGCATCCCGTGACACACCACCCCGCCTACCTGTGCTGAAAACAGAAGCAGACCCCGTGACACCACACCAGAGAAACCCCACCAACCCCTAACAACAGTAGGTTACCCTAGTAATATTCACACCACATAACGTTAGCACAGAAGGAAATTTGTGTTTGGTTGATTAGTTCTTTGTTGTAAAAATCCTTCTTGGCAGTAAATATTTTAATGTTGGAAAGCCTGTTTATTTCCCTTAAACTGGGCCAATTAAATGACACCAAACAAGAGCAAAACAAATTCTTTGGCAGACAAGATTTAGTACATTTTTCATGGGTTTGACAAGTAATAGCATGCCTGACTACACAACCTCTGGTGCAAAAATGGATTGATCAGCTATAGATAGATATGATAGATTTGTTTGTTCATTTCACTGCAGCAACACATTGTTGCAAAGAACTGAACATAGTTACGGGTGTGCAGGCACACTGCTTATTTTTGTCTGACTACGTGTGCAAAAGAATACACAAAAATAAACAAGTTTACAAGATTACTCTGAATTATACTAAATAAATAAACAATTCAGTATCAATCATTTGCTATTCATCATCTCTCTCCTCCATATCTCTCTGACCTGGTTAAGATCACCGCCCCATCTCGTTATCTCAGATCTTCTTCTTCCCTTTCACTCTCCGTCCCCTCGCCCCCGTCTTGCAACCATGGGGAGCCGGGCTTTCAGCTGCTTTGCTCCACGACTCTGGAATTCCCAACCTCCTGATTTAAGAAACATCTCTTCCTTCTCTCTCTTTAAGTCCAAACTCAAAACCCACTTGTACAAAATAGCTTATCCCACATAACCTTTCCACTCTCCTATTTTATTTGTTTATGTCTTATGCTTTTATGATTCTGTAAACTTCTTGCTTTTATGTTGCTTTTATTCTACTGTGTACAGCGACCTTGAGTGTTTTCATGCAGATGCAGGAATTAGAAATGTAATCAAGAGGACCTTGAGACAACTCATCTGTGACAACATCTTAGAGACAGTGCAGAGGCTTCACCCACACTGACTGATGTGTGCAGGGAACAAAAAGAGAAAGAGAGAGAACGTTACATCTGTCACGGCTCACAAACTCCCCTTCATTAACCACTGAAGCATAAAAATGTCACATCAATATCAACAGCAATGAGTCATACAAACTTCCCCATTCATTCCGGGACATGATCATTGACACCAAACACAAGTGTAACTCTATACTGCAAATAGTCCCACGCTATTTTAGAAGCACTGCAGTCACTGCTTATACCAGACTCCCTCAAAAATAAATAAATAAAATAAAATGATCTGTTAACATTTTCTCAGAAGTAAAATGTTCTTTTTTATACGTCATGGTAACAAACTGCCCTTTGTGAGCTGTACGTTATATTTTTTCTGCTTTACTTGATCATCTCACCTGAGCGTCTGAAAGTGTTTCACTCTGTAAACACGAGTTTCTCCCTTTTACAGCTTCAGCTGCATTAAAACAATTCAAAATCTGATTATGTTAGAGAAGCAGATTTTGAATTGTTTTAACTCATGACTCAGAGTTCATCGTGGTTTCCGAGTGTATGTAAAATATGTTGTATCATGTTGTGCGTCTCCTCAGTATGAGGGGGTCTGTCAGCTGATATTTCAGGACAGTTTAAGGGATTTCAGCACTGACACTATTTCATAAAAGAAATAGTTCCTGTTAAATGTGACAGAAACAGAAATTTCTTTCAATTTAGTTTTGGAGGTTAGTGAGTAAGGCAAGTGGGGCATTTCTCCATAGGTTCCTGTGTAGCCCTCTGTGAATTAAAAAAACAAACAAACAATCAAAGTGTTGTGGCTCCTGCAGCAGAAATAAGGATGAGAGGATCAGATTTAGTCACCCTCCTCCACAGATGTTGTGGGTGTTCACTTAACATCATCATCCTCTCGCTCTGAAAGCCACATATACCTGTTTCTCTTCACAACATCAGAAATGTCCCTGACAGTCAGCAGGTCTGCAAAAATCACACACCCTGTTTGTACATCATGTCATATGTTCTATGTGAAGTTTTTGTTTTTACTTGATTGAATTTAAAGAGTTAATTAAAAGCTTGAGTGAGCTAAATTTGCATCTGAAAGAAAGTTGTGACACATTCTGTGTTTC